GGCGCATCTCAAGATGACAAGGAGCCAGCACGTTTGAGGGGATCACCTACAGTCTGTGGCGTATCTCGTCCGTTGTCTAGCCACAAACAAGACCTTCATACTCGGGATCGACGAGGCAAGAACCACCATCCCACTCCAGCCGTCCAACCAGCATGATTGTCCGCGGACTGTGTCCCACCAGCCAGCACGACATTCTCCACACGATGCCACCATCCTCGTGGAATGAACAGTGTCTCGCCCTCGCGGAGGACGCAACTGAGCGCTGACGCAGCGATTGCCTCGGCAGCACGCGCAGGAGTAGCAGGGTCGATCAAAACATCAAACACGCCTTCGGAATGAGAAGAGTTCGAGGCGGGACGCAGGGTCAAGTCGATGTCGGAGGTGTTGCGCAATGTGGAATATGCGTCGCTGCGTCTGATGAAGTCTGATACGGAAGGGGGGATGAGAGTGAAATGCTTCGCGTGCGTGGAAGGTTTAGAGGAGGCGTGCAGGTGGTACAAGTTCAAGTATGGATCGTAGTGTAATGGGGTTACCTACGAGTAAGCATTGGTACTGGTATTTCAGCAGATATAAAAACCGGGGGACATACTGCCTTGTTGGGCCCGATGAAGAAGCTTGTGTGGTACAGATCCACGCGCTCGTCCGTTATGAGCGGTCCTAGGGGAGGAGGAGGTTTGACGAGATGCGCTAGTTCTGGGACCTTTTTGCACACGCATCAGAGACACGCTCCTGTATAGATCTTGCACTTACCTCGTCGCCTGCACGCCATTGAGCAAGATACAGTTGCTTTCCGCCAACTGTTCCATCGTTCCGCATAGTGTCCTCGAGCCAGTCAAGATACTGTCCAAGTTGCATAGGCGCCCGGTCGAACGCCCCTGGAGAAGTGTCATCATAACGACCAACTTCTATATCCACCACGACAGGGTCACGGTTCCGGAAAGCCCGCAGTAAATTCTGTGCTCGGCTGGCAGTATGATCTGAAGAGCGGTGTCGCGCGGGGAAGAATAACGGTGTCGACTCCGGGGATGATGCAAACGACAGGAATGCTTCAGGTGCGCTGGCCACAGGTACTTCTGCCAGCGGCACTGCACATGTTGGTACCACGTTCGCGCCAACGTTATAGCTGGAGGAAAACTGTTTCTTGCTATACTTCCGAACCATTGCGGAACTGTATGCGCCTGTTCTTCCGCACGTTATGTTCCGCACCCCAAGGAGAACGGACCGAGTGGGATCACAGCAACACTGTGAGCGAGCCAGCCTGAGCATATTGAAAACGACAGGACTCTAGCTATGCGACCAGCTGGAGGGCGGCCCGACGGGTGGGAGTGATAAGGCAAGTGGCGGCAAGCGGGCCGGGCCGTTTGACATGTTCATCGTCGACGACGACGAACTGGCTCATTCACCCACTCTCATGTATGATCACTGGCAGCACCATCTATCAGTCTCATAGTAGTTTCCTGTACATTGACGTTTTGTGTTGGTGATACTCGTGTCTTTTTGTTCCAACATCGGACAACCTGCCAATATCAATCCACAATCCCCTCCTGTGGACCGCAATTCAGTACTGGGTAGCAACTGGTCAGGCGTGATATCGTCTGATCATGGCCGTTGTCTGGGCTTGGAGCTATTCAAGAGCGCCTACTGTCAAGGATGGTTTGTTCTCTTATTGTTTACCGTGTTGTACTATGACATGATTACACCGATATCTCCAGGGTTCGTCCACGGGTCTAGAGTCAATTATGGAAGACGCCTGCCCGCACACCCACGCTTTTGTTTGTGTTCAACATTGCTCATCGCCCGCCTGTTCCCGTGGCGCCAACGACAGATTCATACGATCTTTGGGTGTGACATGCCCAACTTAGTCCTTTTGTGTAGAGGGGTATGTATACCCTGCTTTTTCCGCTGTGCAATGCATCCACAGACCCCAGTGGTCTCAGCTCATCGGAGCGTCTTGCCTCAGTATAGTATCCGTTCTCGCTCTCGTGCTTTCGCAGTCTCCTGGTGTTTTCTGCTATCGCAACTATTGTTATTATACATCTCGCGCTTCTGCTCTTATTGCTGGTCATGTCTCGTCATGTTATCACGTTTCCGCCTCCGCCACCGACACACAACAGCATGTCGGCGGAACAACGCGCACAATTGATGCGCACGAGCACGAAGCTCGGCCAGGTGCTCGGGAGCACCCCTCATGTCGTGGACGCATCGTATCCACCAGGTCAGTCACCCTTCGTGGTCTTCTTTCTTTAACAACGCTGAAATAATCGTGGATCAGCATTGCGTTTAGATATACCTAATGTATCTGAAGGTACCCCCAAACGCAAGCTCTTCTTCTCTCACTTGCGGAGCAAATCCCTCCCCGCTATCCCCGATGCAGGAGAGGAAGAACACGAAGTTAGCCCCATCTCTGCCTCCTCCGGGACATCATCCTCCTCCCACATTTCCACTTCCAGCAAAACTTCCTCCGCCTCTGCTCGCAGCCCGCATTCCTGGCGGTCCCCCTTCCCCGCACAGCATCCACCCCTGCTCAAGATTGTTAAGCCATCGCACTATGCAGGCCCTACAGACCTATCCCTCATCCCAGGCTCGCCACCGGCGTACTCGCCATTGCCCAGCCCCCCGGTGTGCCCAGACGCACCGACATTCACCGTCCCATCCGAGGCCTCGCTGCGTCGTGACAAGATGCGCCGGCTCACACGCCGTCTTGGAGATGGTGTCCCGCAGGAGCTTGTCTTCCCTGAGACTGACGCGGATGTGGACGAGGATGCGGACGATGAGGCTCCTCTTTTTGGGCCGCGAGCGTCGCAGCCCGGCTCGGCGCGCGTCGCGCTCACGCTCACGACCCGCTATCCTGACGGCTCTGCACTACCTTCGATTCCAGAGGGCCGTGCAGCGCAGCCGCGCTCGCGCCACGACATGTCCGTGCCTACCAATGCGAAAGGCAAGTCGCAGACGCGGAAGACGGATGTTCAGGCCAAGTCGTCTCGCAACGCGATCTATGTCATTGATGGCCCGGTCAAACGTGGTTCGAGGTCACCGGCTACTGTTTGCTTGGGCGTGTCTGCTAGCGCGGGTATGCATGGGATGGGGAAGACTCGCCGATGGGTGCAGGGCCCTATCCCATTCGACCAGATCGTGGGGGCATGGTAGGGAAGTGTTCGAGCTTAGTATGATGTCTCGGTGAGCTATACTACATGAATGTGAACGACTAGTCTTGCTCTGCTGGTCAGGCGAGGACCGTCCGTTGTGTATATGATCATAACCAATATGCCTGTACGTGTATTCTATTGTCTGCTGCTACTGTAATTTCTGTGTCGTTGTGTCGTCGATATCACTTATGTCACCATGGTATGGCATATATATATATACTTATGTCTTCAAGTTGGCTCGACGGTTTTTCGAGCAAGGTCTCGCTGCTGGAACGGCGGCCCGGTGTAGCCGCTATTATTTTGCGGCCAATTGAACGTTCGAAGTTCGACTTTCATCGTTTCTCGATCGTCCAAAACGTTGTAACCTCGGTGGCAAGTCCACGGGAAGCAGATGTTGAAAGTTCAGTACGGAAGTTATCCCCAACTTCTGAAGATACTAATGTCCGGCATCCTCGATGAATTATGGGCCCAGGAATCTGCCAGAAAATGGCTGGATAATGGCGTAAGCCTTATCAGTCATTCTGCTGAGTACCACCACCTGGACCTATAGTGGACTTCAGTAGCGTGTCTTTGTTCCAATGAAGCCGACAGTCACACCAGAGAGCCAAGCAGACCCGGCAAAGGTACCCCCGCTCGACCCATCTCTTCTAAAGCTGTCGGAGGCAGATTCCATATTTCTGCACGCAACAATCTCCAATGACGACGCTGAACTGCGCAGGAGAATATTGGAGGTGCAGGAAGAGTGAGTTTTCACAAGTCCACTTTTGTGTCGGGTTGTGCTAATCTCGGGCTGATACGTTCAAACAGAGCATAGTATGCTATTTCTCGTCTCCAAATGCAGCGTGATTTGAAATCCCTGACTGCCCATTCTCAACAGTGCCAAGTACCCGTACCCATGTATCCACGCGTTTCATTATGTGAGCCTCTTCATGTCACAAAATCCTGCCTATCCGTCTGTCATGGCTGCTGCCAAATCCGCCCCGGACACGCTCTTCCTTGACATCGGGTGTTGCAGTGCGTCGCATTTAATATGATCAGTGTCTAGCACATAGTAACACACCACATTTAATTAGTGGGAAGTGACGTACGGAAGCTCGTTTTCGACGGCTACCCCGCTGCGCGCGTGCTAGCCTCAGACCTCCGGCGGGAATACATCACTCTCGGGCACACGCTCTATCAAGATCTCGACACCTGCCCTATCCGCTTCTTCACCTCCGACATCTTCTCCCTCGCGCCTGACGCCTCTAAGAGCCTAACCGCACCGGTGCGTGTACCGGAGGTGACAGATCTTGCGGAATTGCGCGGCGCCCTCACGCACATTTATGTTGGCGCGCTCTTCCACCTGTTCGACGAGGCAACGCAGTACGCGCTCGCGCTGCGCCTCGCAGTGCTCCTCCGCAGGTCACCCGGCGCGCTCGTGTTTGGACGTCACTCAGGCCTTGAGGAGGCTGGCATGATCGACGACCATCTCGGCAGGTGCGCCGCTACATCTCACCTCTTCGACCAGCTCATTAACGTGCTTTTTTGCTTTTAAAATTGCAGGACTCGCTACGGCCACTCTCCAGAGTCGTGGGTGCACATGTGGAAGCACGTCTTCGTGGAGGTTGAGGGTGCCGCGTTTTCAGATACTCGGGTCGTCGTGCTGGCGCATCTCGAAGATCACAAATATAATTTTCTCACTACACAACGGCGGGCAATGTTGGTATGGAGCATTAGTATTATGTGAGAGTGTTCGTTAGAACAGGTTCAAGCACAATTGTTGCCACGAAACATCAGTCTGAATAATCATTGAACGTTCCGATAATGGAAGCAGTAAAAAAGTCAGGTACAAAACATAAGCCAGGCTTAATTAGATCCTTCGAACCGGGATCGAACCAGTGACCTTGAGATGAAAGTGGTAACCATTACAGTCTCACGCTCTTCCAACTGAGCTATCGAAGGCTACAACATGATATTGCCTTTGTGGTTTATCATAGCTGCAGGGACATGCATGAATTATGTAGACCCGCTTCAAGGTGAGAACACGTCGCATCGCTGAACAGTGATCCTATCCAGACCACGATGACAACCTGCAGACATTTGAGGTGCTCGCGCCTCGATGCGTTGTCAATGTGCTCCCACAAGACCGCTGATCTTCATGGGAGTTTCCGAGCCCAGTAACAACCGTGAGCTCTCCAACGCAGATGTTGCTGGCAAAAAGATGAGAATGGTGCTGCGAGCCTGCCGAATGGGTCGTTGTCATCCAAAGTGTCATGAACGGAAAGGAGGGCCATACCGCTGCTGAAGAGAGGTCTGAGGATATCCACTGCTGAAATTGACGATGAGTGAGACAGATCAAGTAAGATAATCCGCAAATACCTCAATCTTGACCGCAAAGAACCGGCGAAAACGAGGCTTACTGTCACAAGTAAGTGCCTCGAGACGAAGGATGATTGTCAATGAGTGCGTGAGTAAGCTGTGGGGTTCCTAGCTGCAAGGCCCGCAGACATTGGTGGCATGGTAGACGAGCAACCATGCCACCAGTGTCCTCCAGCATAGTGGAGATAATGTTCAACGCTGTCAACCGGAGACGCATCGGGATACGGGAGCTGTGGACTACGTCTGTTTTATCCCAGCTGACCTCGTCCAGATTGCGAGTTGGAAGCGACGAGCGAGTGTAACAAGAGCTGCATCTCGCCAGAAGACGAGAACTTGCATCTCAAGAATTGGAGTGAGAAGGTTTTGGATGCACCGGCGACCAGTTCCAATTAAAGAGCACTTTGATGTCCGCCACGACATCCCATATCGGTTGTAGGACTGGATACGCGAAGGGTGAGCTCCGTCTTAGATGCCACCAGTCAACACGAGTCCCTGTTCTGACGACCAGGAAACATAGTGACAAACCGGATAAATGTCAAGAACACGAATTGACTTGTGAGAGTAAATTAAGAGAGCCAATAAAGACTGCCAATAGACGACGTACCGATTTCACTTTCACTTACATGAGCAGCTTGCCGCTCTAAAGACGCTGGACTTCGATCGTTCGGAACGCCGCATACAAATGCACATACATGGTGGTATGCTGAGACTAGTATACATCTGGAGATCAACTGTAGACGACGTAGAACGCATCCACGATAAAATATAGGCTTCCTGAGGGGTATACGCCACAACTTCAGTGGAGTCAAAGGCACGCATCAACAGAACGCACATTAATACTTTCTGCCAGATATGAACCTAGACAGGAACTGTGTCATGCTTGCTATCTCCTCACCAACAGGCCGGATCCATTCTTCAGGCAAGGAAAAGCCGTACTGCAGGAGACTCGTCAAACCGTGCTCAAGGGGAGAGGTAGGAATCTAGGCGCGAGAAAGTGGCACATACCGTGCCTGTATCTCTGAGATGCACGGCATAGGAGTATTTGATGCCCGCCTTCGCGTACATCCAGTCTACGATATTACCAGGAGCTCTGTTCCACATAGGATAATAGCGTGGAAGATAAGGCCAGTTCAATGAGCCCTCAGACATTTGCTCGATGTTCACGCTTCACGCACTTGTACAGCATCGAACAGAGATTTCCCGTCTAGAGAAGGCACGTCAGTAAGGGAGTAAGCACGGGCGGCAGTGACGTGAGACTCGCCGTAAAAGCGGTGCCATGGACCTGCTTTATGGCCCTTGTCGCCCCAAGTGCAGCCTCAATCTGGTCCTCTGCATCCTTCGGCGTTTCTTTACACGAGTAGGAGAATGGCGTAGACACTTTTGGACTTGTGAACACTGAAATAGGTATCACATCAAACAACGGGACGCACGCATTTGACCGTAGCTTCGAAGATCGAGGTATGCTTGCAGCGCAGGGAGCGTCGTGATATAGTTTGCGATGTTGTTCACCTCTGGGGACTCAAAAGCGCGGTGCCCCGGGTACCAATGTGTACATGGATCGGTCGGTGTCGAAGGCTTGGTTGCTGCCGTTGAATTATTTGGCTTGAAGGTGGGGAAATCTGCCTTGGCTTTCCATTTGTAGCCCTGTGTTGGGGGAGCTCATCAGAAGGGGGGTGGATGAGTCTCACGAAGCATATATGTACCCAATTTCTGGTAGTGCGGCCAATTAGTTGAGATAGAGACATCCGGTTGAGATGTAATCTACCTGTTCATATCGAGCCCTATGCATTTCTCGTAGGGTCCTATGACTTGGCGGTTCTTGTACCTATCATTTATGATTAGTATGGCACGCGGAGGTAGGTTAATGGAAATCGGTTGGAGAGATCTGCCAAAACTGTGGCGAGAAGGACAGCAGACGCAGACGCATGCGTTCAAATCAAAATGTACAACGAACTTACCAGAGACGATGGTTCTCCCAGGTGTACACATATCCGTCGGGATTTGGAACCGGAACAATATAGAAGTCCTGACGAAATCTTTCAGTTTGTATCCGAAACTCAGTACAAGACACGGTATAAAGATGGCTACTACAGTAAGAAAACTCAACAAATCCCAATGAATGCGCCTGGCTTGAAATAGTCCGAAGGCAAAAGGCAGACGGTGCTTACATGAAAGTCAAGAAGCGATGACATCGCGTAAGGTTCAGCGCTGCTGGATACGAGAGCATGCACAAGGTATAATGCCGTCGAAGTAGCAATCCACTGCACCCATATTGAGCAACCACTAGAAGGTAACTGAGTATACACGAACCTCTCGAGCATGTTGTGCACCTGTGACGACAAATCCCTTCTTCGTCTTGAAATTTCCACTATCCCTCGACAGCCGCATCGCTACCATCTCCCTTCCCTCTGCCGAATGGCCGATATAGTCCAGTTTCACGATATCCGGGTATAACGCCGCCATCTGTTGCATGAACACCTCAATCTCGTCGAGAGGATGGTAATTTGAGTGGAACGTCGTATTCGAAAGCGAAGTTAGGTTCCATTCTATGGAGGGAGGCCTGGGTTTATCAGGAGGTATGAGAGCGGCCCTGAGAATCTCCGTAGTATTATGCACGAGACTTGCGCCGCTGAATTGGGAGGCCAAGTAGTCGTCGGGAGACGAGAAGTAGACATCGACATGCGAAGGTGTCACCTGCCAAATATCTGCCCTCGCTGTCTAACCGGCACAATACGCGTTCAGCTGAGCCTGCAAGAAACGCGGATACGTGCATTCAGCAGAAACCGACCTCTGCAACTTCCAAGATGCGCTCGACATCCCAGCCGTGCGCATATGGAACGGCGAACGATTTCAGAACTCCGTTCTCCTCAGGCGGTGATGACCCAACTTCAACATGGAACACCGTCTGGTCGAGTGCAGACAAGGCCAGGGCATGCACGAGGACTGTCGGCAGCAATGAAAGGGTCAGAGACCAACGTGACAACATCGCCAGCAGATATTACAAGGGGGACGAATCCAACGGGGCCGTTGAGAGTCGTCGAAAGGTCAGAAGAGGATGCGATGAGCTCAAGCTCGAAGCCGATGAGGAGCTTTCCAATTGCCCATGAGATGGCTGGTCAAAACTACAGCATAAGCAAGCGCCGGCCGACTCGCATCTCATCAGTTTAACAAACAGTGAACATTATGATTGCGTACACTACTCAGTACTCAGCAGCCGTATAGTAACCATCTGCCACATGCGTAACGTTACACCAAGTCGGTAAATAAGATATGTTCGAGAAAGAGGCTTGAATATTGATCAAGCTGTATGCGCGAGCTCGTACTTCTCTTTCCACTGCTCAAACCCCTCGAGCTTCACTTCTCCACACAATCTCGCCGTGATCCTTCTCAGTTCGTTCAGGTACTATAAATTGATGATTCAGTTATACACAAGGAAGCGGATCGACTAAACAAACCACTCACTCCGATCAGCTGGAAGACTGCAACTACACCGCTCGCGTAGAACATGTACTCGTAGCTCGTGACAGACTGCAAGGGCGAGGTTGGTGCAGGAACAGATGTCCCGTCGACGGGAGTCTTTCCGGGCAAATTTGCGGCCTGTCCGTGATAGTGTAGCCTATCAAGCAAATTCTGGCTCTGTGCCTGGTGCAGAGGCTCGCCTGTCCGGAGCGATTGGGAGATGAGCAAAAACATTGACATGACTTCACTGATCTGAGACATGAAACACAGAATGAGTGTTTCACGATTTCTCATTAGGAAGAACCACGCACGAAGTTGGGGTTGACAACTTTAGTGTGTTGAAGGAATGCAATTCGCATACCCCGATCAAGTTGTTCGAGAGATCCGCCAAGCTATCCAACGCGAGTGTCAACATCAAGACACATAAATAGAGCCAGAACGCTACTGGAGCTACTCACCATTGCGAGACTGGTGACCATGTTTGACTGCACAGTGACCAGTTGCATGTATTCCTCGTAGGGCCATGCGCCGCGCACGTTTCCTTCCCACTTCGCAATGTTTGTCTGTGTGCGCAGCATACTCATTTGCGTTGAAAGGCCAATGAACCGCTCGCGGAACTCCGGCAGCCATTCAGCGCTACTAATCAGATCTGACTTGTCCTTGTCTGCTGCTGCTGGCTCAGTCTCATTGATCCAAGCCGCCATGAGATGGGCATAGAGGAAGGAGAGGCTGGCAATCGTGGAGGCGTTGCGCACACGGACGGCCTTGCGCCCAGAGGATGGTGGGAACATCATGAGAACGAACGACGCGACACAGCCTATCAGAATGAATGTTCAAGTCAGGTGAATTGCATAGAGAAGTGGATGGCAGACATACCAATGATTACGAGTGTGAATCGTCTCCATGCGATTGACCAGCCAATACCAACGTTCGAGAAGATGGGCAGGTGTCCATCGATCCAGGAGTACCCAACGACAAGCGTATATGTCGCCTGAAAAATTCCTGGTGAGCTTGAGTGTTGGTAGAAATTAACAAAATGGCTCACTCCTACAAGGAATATGAAGGGCATAGACTGGGGAGGGGCATACAGCCGGCAGAAAATAAGCGGAACCAGAAATACTGCA